AACCCCACGGTGCAGGGACATGGGGGTGCACAGGGGCGCTGGGGGGCACAGGGTGGGCACAGGGACATGGGGGACAAGGGGCACGGGCCGGGGGGGTGGTGTGGGGGGCTGGCACGGGGTTCTGGTGACACCGAGGGGTGGCAGAGGGTGTCCGGTGACCCGGGGGTGCCAGGGGGTCTCCGGTGACCCGGGGGTGCCCGGGGGTCCCGCAGGTGCCCTCTCGTCCATGCCAGCCGTGCGGACCTTCGCCCTCACGGCGGCGCTCGCCATCGCGCTGGACTTCGCGCTGCAGATGTCGGGGTTTGTGGCACTGGTGGCGCTGGACAGGCGGCGACAGGAGGTGGCACCGGGGGCACCGCGGGGCCAGGGCAGGGGGGCACGGGCTGGGGGCTCAGGGTGGCTGTGAGGGTCCCCAGGGTGGGCACAGGGTGGGTGAGAGCTCCCCAGGGTGGGCACAGGGTGAGGATCCCCAGGGTGGGCACGGGTCCCCAGGGTGGGTGTGGGGATGCCAGGGTGGGCATAGGGTGGGTGAGGGGTCCCCAGGGTGGGCACAGGGTCCCAGGAGTGGGTGAGGGGTCCGGGTGAGAGCTCCCCAGGGTGGGCACAGGGTGAGGATCCCCAGGGTGGGCACGGGTCCCCAGGGTGGGTGTGGGGATGCCAGGGTGGGCATAGGGTGGGTGAGGGGTCCCCAGGGTGGGCACAGGGTCCCAGGAGTGGGTGAGGGGTCCCCAGGGTGGGCACAGGGTCCCAGGAGTGGGTGAGGGGTCCCCAGGGTGGGCACAGGGTGCCCATGAAGCCCCCAGGGTGGGTGTAAGGATGCCCAGGGTGGGCACAGGGTCCCCGGGGTGGGTGAGGGTCCCCCGGCTGTGCCCAGGGTGGGCAGGGGACACGGGGGGGCTGCAGAGGAGCCGTGCCAACCCCCCTGTACCCCCAGGCCGGGCGCTTCGACCTCTGCTGCTGCTGCGGGAAGGGCAAGGGGGGCACGGCCGGGGCGGGCAGGGGGCTGCTGCGCCCCTTCCTCGAGCGCTTCTACACCCCCGTGCTGCTGCACCCCCTCGTGCGGCCCGCCGTGGTGAGGGCACGGGGGCACGGGGGCATGGGTGGGGGTTTGGGGTCTCTGGGGGTGTCTGTGGGTTTGGGTTGGGGTCTCTGTGGGGGTTTGGGGTCTCTGGGGGTGTCTGTGGGTTTGGGTTGGGGTCTCTGTGGGGGTTTGGGGTCTCTGGGGGTGTCTGTGGGTTTGGGTTGGGGTCTCTGTGGGGGTTTGGGGTCTCTGGGGGTGTCTGTGGGTTTGGGTTGGGGTCTCTGTGGGGGTTTGGGGTCTCTGGGGGTGTCTGTGGGTTTGGGTTGGGGTCTCTGTGGGGGTTTGGGGTCTCTGGGGTTTTGGGGGTCCCGGGGGTCTCTGGGGGTTTGGGTTGGGGTCCCTGAGCCCCCTCCCCCCAGGTGCTGCTGTTCCTGTTCCTGGCCTGCGCCGGGCTCTTCCTGCTCTTCCACGTGTCCGTGGGGCTGGACCAGGAGCTGGCACTGCCCGAGGTGGGCACCGCGGGCGGGCACGGGGGGACAGCGGGACACACGGGGGGAAAGCAGGACACACGGGGGGACAGCGGGACACACGGGGGGACAGCGGGGACAGTGGGGACACGTGGGGACAGCGGGGACACGTGGGGACAGCGGGGACACGTGGGGACAGCGGGGACACATGGGGACAACGGGACACACGGGGGGACAGCGGGGACACATGGGGACAACGGGACACACAGGGGGACAGCAGGACACCGGGGGGACAACGGGACACACAGGGGGACAGCAGGGACAGCGGGACACACGGGGGGACAGCGGGGACAGCGGGGACACATGGGGGGACAGCGGGGACACATCGGGACAGCGGGGACAGCGGGGACAGCGGGACACACGGGGGGACAGCGGGACACACGGGGGGACAGCGGGGACAGCGGGGACAGCGGGACACACAGGGGGACAGCGGGACACACGGGGGGACAGCAAGGACAGCAGGGACACATGGGGACAGCGGGGACACACAGGGTGGCAGCAGGAACACACAGCAGGGACATGTGGGGGTGACATATGGGGACATGTGGGGTGACCCATCTGAGACCTGTGGGTGCTGGGTGGGTGACACGTGGGGGTGTGACACGAGGACACATGGCAGGGGTGGCATGGCCCTATATGGAGACCCACTGGGATGCTGGCACTCCTCTGTGCACATGGGGACAGCGGGGACACACAGGGTGGCAGCAGGAACACACAGCAGGGACATGTGGGGGTGACATATGGGGACATGTGGGGTGACCCATCTGAGACCTGTGGGTGCTGGGTGGGTGACACGTGGGGGTGTGACACGAGGACACATGGCAGGGGTGGCATGGCCCTATATGGAGACCCACTGGGATGCTGGCACTGCTCTGTGCCCTGTGTCCCCTCTGTGTCCCTCTGTCCCTCTGTGCCCCCGCGGGTGCCACCGCTGTCCCCGGCTGTCCCCAGGACTCGTACCTGCTCCCGTACTTCTCGGAGCTGAACCGCTACCTGGCCGTGGGTGTCCCCACCTACTTTGTCACCACGAGCGGCTACAACTTCTCCTCGGAGAACGGCACCAACGCCATCTGCTCCAGCGCCGGCTGCGACGCCGACTCGCTGACGCAGAGCATCCAGCTGGCCACGCGCTTCCCCAACGTGTGAGTGCCCGTGGTGCCCGCGGGGTGCCAGGCTGGCCGTGCCCGCCGCCTGCCAGCCCCCTGTGCCCTCCCCAGGTCCTACCTGGCCATCCCGGCCACCTCGTGGCTGGACGATTTCCTGGACTGGCTGAACCCCACGGTGCGCTGCTGCCGCATCCACCAGAGCGGGGAGCACCAGGGCGAGTTCTGCCCCTCCACCAGCAGTGAGTGCGGCGGGGCAGGGGCTGCCGGGGGGCACGGGGTGCCCACCGTGGGGCTGGTGGGTGCCATTGGGTGCCCACAATGGTGGCTGTTGGGTGCCCACTGGGTGCCCAGCATGGTCGCTGTTGGGTGCCCACTGGGTGCCCACCATGCTGGCTGTTGGGTGTTCACTGGGTGCCCACCATAATAGCTGTTGGGTGCCCATGGGGTGCCCACTATAGTGGCTGTTGGGTGCCATTGCGTGCCCGCCATGATGGTTCTTAGATGTACATTGAGTGCCCACTGCCATGGCCATTGGGTGCCCACCATGGCGTCCATTGGGCGGCCATTGGGTGCCCACTGGGTGGTCATTGGGTACCTACCATGATGACCACTGGCTGTCCATTGAATGCCCATTGGGTGCTCATTGGATGCCAGCTGGGTGCCCACTGCACTGAGTGGTCATTGGGTGTCCATTGGGCATCCATTGGGTGTCCATTGGGTGCCCACTGGGTGGTCATTGAGTGCCCACTGGGTGCCCACTGCGTGGTCATTGGGTGTCCATTGGGCATCCATTGGGTGCCCATTGAGTGTCCATTGGGTGCCCTCTGGGTGTCTATTGGATGTCCATTGAATGCCCACTGGGTGCCCATTGGGTGTCCACTGGGTGGTCATTGAGTGCCCACTGGGTGCCCACTGCGTGGTCATTGGGTGTCCATTGGGCATCCATTGGGTGCCCTCTGGATGTCTATTGGATGTCCATTGAATGCCCACTGGGTGCCCATTGGGTGCCCATTGGGTGCCCATTGGGAGGTCATTGGGTGTCCATTGGATGCCCATTGGGTGCCCATTGGGAGGTCATTGGGTGCCCATTGAATGCCCACTGGGTGCCCACTGGGTGCCCATTGGGTGGTCATTGGGCACCTACCGTGATGCCCCCTGGGCGCCTGCTTGGTGCCTGCTGCGCCGGGCACGGCGCGCCCTTGGGTGCCCGCGGTGCCCGCGGTGTGAGCGGGGCCGCGCTGAGCCCGCGTGTGCCCACAGCTGACCCCAGCTGCGCCCTGGGCCAGTGCCTGAAGCAGCTGCGGCGCCCCACGGCCGAGGAGTTCCAGCGCTTCCTGCCCTGGTTCCTGCAGGACCGGCCCACCCTGCAGTGCGCCAAGGGGTGAGTGGCACCGTGGTGGCACTGGGGTGGCACCGCCGTGGCACCAGGGGTGTGGTAAGGGGAGCACCCACAGGGGTAAATGCCACCCAAGGGGACACGGCGTTTGGCACTGTGGAGGCTCCTAGGGGTGGGTGGCACCTGTGGGGACACTGAGGAGCAGGGGACACTCAGGGGGAACACCCAGGGGTGGGTGGCACCTGTGGAGGACACCCAGGGCTCAATGCCACCCACGGGGTGGTGACAGCCAGGGACAGGAACACCAGCGTGGGCACTCCCCGCGTGTCACCTGGCTGTCCCCTGGCTGTCCCCCGGCTGTCCCCCGGCTGTCCCCTGACCCTCCCGTGTCCCCGCAGTGGCCTGGGCGCCTACGACACCGCGGTGAGCATGGACGCCAACGGCACCATCCTGGGTGAGTGTGGGTGGCACAGGGACAGGGACTGGGGTGACCACTGATCCCCAGGAGTGACCAATGACCCCCAGGAGTGACCACTGACCCCCAGCAGTGACCACAGACACCCAGGGGTGACCACTGACCCGCAGGAGTGACCAGTGACACCCAGGGGTGACCACTGACCCCCAGGAGTGACCACTGACACCCGGGGGTGACCACTGACCCCCAGGAGTGACCACTGACCCCCAGCAGTGACCACAGACACCCAGGGGTGACCACTGACCCCCAGGAGTGACCACTGACCCCCAGGAGTGACCACTGACACCCAGGGGTGACCACTGACCCCCAGGAGTCACCACTGACCCCCAGGAGTGACCACTGACCCGCAGGAGTGACCAGTGACACCCAGGGGTGACCACTGACCCCCAGGAGTGACCACTGACACCCGGGGGTGACCACTGACCCCCAGGAGTGACCACTGACCCCCAGGGGTGACCACTGACCCCCAGGAGTGACCACTGACCCCCAGCCGCAGCTGACCCCAGCTGCGCCCTGGGCCAGTGCCTGAAGCAGCTGCGGCGCCCCACGGCCGAGGAGTTCCAGCGCTTCCTGCCCTGGTTCCTGCAGGACCGGCCCACCCTGCAGTGCGCCAAGGGGTGAGTGGCACCGTGGTGGCACTGGGGAGGCACCGCCCTGGCCCGAGGGGTGTGGTAAGGGGATCACTCACAGGGGTAAATGCCACCCAAGGGGACACGGCGTTTGGCACTGTGGAGGCTCCTAGGGGTGGGTGGCACCTGTGGGGACACTGAGGAGCAGGGGACACTCAGGGGGAACACCCAGGGGTGGGTGGCACCTGTGGAGGACACCCAGGGCTCAATGCCACCCACGGGGTGGTGACAGCCAGGGACAGGAACACCAGCGTGGGCACTCCCCGCGTGTCACCTGGCTGTCCCCTGGCTGTCCCCCGGCTGTCCCCCGGCTGTCCCCTGACCCTCCCGTGTCCCCGCAGTGGCCTGGGCGCCTACGACACCGCGGTGAGCATGGACGCCAACGGCACCATCCTGGGTGAGTGTGGGTGGCACAGGGACAGGGACTGGGGTGACCACTGATCCCCAGGAGTGACCAATGACCCCCAGGAGTGACCACTGACCCCCAGCAGTGACCACAGACACCCAGGGGTGACCACTGACCCCCAGGAGTGACCACTGACACCCAGGGGTGACCACTGACCCCCAGGAGTGACCACTGACCCCCAGGAGTGACCACTGACCCGCAGGAGTGACCAGTGACACCCAGGGGTGACCACTGACCCCCAGGAGTGACCACTGACACCCGGGGGTGACCACTGACCCCCAGGAGTGACCACTGACCCCCAGGGGTGACCACAGACACCCAGGGGTGACCAATGACCACCAGGGTGACCACTGACAACCAGGGGTGACCACTGACCCTGTGGCAGCTGCTGACCACCAGGAGTGCCCACTGCCCCATGATGCCCGCTGCCCCGGTGGTGCCCACTGCCCTGTGGTGCCCGCTGCCCCGTGGTGCCCGCTGCCCCGTGGTGCCCGCTGCCCTGTGGTGCCCGCTGCCCTGGTGGTGCCCACTGCCCCATGGTGCCCACTGCCCTGTGGTGCCCGCTGCCCTGGTGGTGCCCGCTGCCCCCATGGTGCCCGTTGCCCTGTGGTGCCCACTGCCCTGGAGGTGCCCACTGCCCTGGTGGTGCCCGCTGCCCCATGGTGCCCACTGCCCCATGGTGCCCACTGCCCTGGAGGTGCCCACTGCCCTGGTGGTGCCCGCTGCCCCGCGGTGCCCACTGCCTGGTGGTGCCCACTGCCCTGGTGGTGCCCGCTGCCCCGTGGTGCCCACTGCCCCATGGTGCCCACTGCCCTGTGGTGCCCGCTGCCCTGGTGGTGCCCGCTGCCCCCATGGTGCCCGTTGCCCCGTGGTGCCCACTGCCCTGGTGGTGCCCGCTGCCCCGTGGTGCCCACTGCCCCGTGGTGCCCACTGTCCCGGTGGTGCCCGCTGCCCCAGTGGTGCCCGCTGCCCTGTGGTGCCCACTGCCCCCATGGTGCCCCCTGCCCCGTGGTGCCCGCTGCCCCGAGTGACCGCTGCCCTGCCCGCAGCCACGCGTTTCATGGCGTACCAGCGGCCGCTGCGCACGTCCCAGGAGTACACGAGTGCCCTGCGCGCCGCCCGCGCCCTGGCAGAGCGCATCACGGGCACCCTGCGCGCCGTGCCCGGCACCGACCCCGCCTTCCGCGTCTTCCCCTACACGTTAGTGGTACCGCCGGCCGCGGGGGGACCCGCCGGGGGCACGGGGGGACGAGGGGGGCTCGGTGGGGGGTGGGCAGGTAGCGGTGCCCAGGTCAGGGTGCCCGTCCCGAGGTGCTGTGGGTGCTGGGGTGCCCATATCATGGTACCCAGTGCCCAGTTTGGGGTCCCGGTGCCCATTTTGGGGTGCCTAGTGCTCATTCTGGGGTGCCCAGTGCCCATATCATGGCATCCAGTGCCCATTTTGGGGTGCCAGGTGCCCATTTCACAGTATCCAGTGCCTGTTTTGGGGTGCCCAGTGCCCATATCAGTGTGCCCAGTGCCCATATCAGTGTGCCCAATGCCTATTTTGGGGTCCCACTTCCCGTTTTGGGGTGCCGGGTGCCCATATCAGGGTGCCCAGTGCCCATATCAGGGTGCCCAGTGCCCATTTTGGGGTGCCCAGTGCCCATATCAGGGTGCCCAGTGCCCGTTTTGTGGTGCCGGGTGCCCGTCCCCGTGTCCCCGGTGCCAGAGCGGTGCCAGAGCGGTGCCACCCGCAGGGTGACGTACGTGTACTACGAGCAGTACCTGACGGTGGTGCCCGAGGGGCTGGTGACGCTGGCACTGTGCCTGGTGCCCACCTTCGCCGTGTCCTTCCTGCTGCTGGGCATGGACGTGCGCTCCAGCCTGGCCACGCTGCTGACCATCGCCATGGCGCTGCTGGGCACCGTGGGCTGCATGGCGCTCTGGGCAGTGCCCTACAACGCCGTGGCACTCATCAACCTCGTGGCGGTGCGGGCAGGGCACAGCGGGGCACGGCGGGGGGCACGGGGCACGGGGCACGGGGCACGGGGCACGGACCCCAGAGCAGCCCCAGGGCCGCCCTCACACCGGGGCCACCCTCACGCCGGGTCCCGTATGGGGTGGCTTGGTGGGCACAGGAGGTGGCAGCAGGAGCTGGGACATAGCAGGTGACACGGGAGGTGGCTCTGGGGGCACGGGGGTGGCTCTGTGGGCACAGGGGTGGCTCTGGGGGCACGGGGGTGGCTCTGGGGGCACGGGGGTGGCTCTGGGGGCACAGGCGGTGCCCGGGGTGCCAGCCCGGTGTCCCCCCAGGCCGTGGGCATCTCGGTGGAGTTCGTGTCCCACATCACCTGCGCCTTCGCCCGCAGCCGCCAGCCCACGCGGGTGGCACGAGCCGCCGAGGCCACCGTCACCATGGGCAGCAAGGTGGGCACGGGGGGCACCGCGGGGCCTCCTGGGGCTGGGGGTGACACCGGGGGACCCCAAACTGTCCTGGGGCGAGGGGGCGACACTGGGTGACCTTGTGGGGCCGGGGGGGTGACACTGTGGGACCCCAAACCTCCTGGGGCTGGGGTGACACCACGGGACCTCCTGAGGCTGGGGGTGGCATGGTGGGACCCCAAACCTTCCTGTGGCAGGGGGTGACACCAGGGGACCCCAAACTGTCCTGGGGCCGGGGGGTGACACTGGGGGAGCTCCTGGGACTGGGGGTGGCACCGTGGGACCTCCGGGGCCAGGGGGGGACACTGCAGGACCCCAAACCCTCCTGGCCAGGGGGTGACAGTGGACACCGGGGGACCCCAAACTGTCCTGGGGCGAGGGGGCGACACTGGGTGACCTTGTGGGGCCGGGGGGGTGACACTGTGGGACCCCAAACCTCCTGGGGCTGGGGTGACACCACGGGACCTCCTGAGGCTGGGGGTGGCATGGTGGGACCCCAAACCTTCCTGTGGCAGGGGGTGACACCGGGGGACCCCAAACTGTCCTGGGGCCGTGGGGTGACACTGGGGGACCTCCTGGGACTGGGGGTGGCACCGTGGGACCTCCGGGGCCAGGGGGGGACACTGCAGGACCCCAAACCCTCCTGGCCAGGGGGTGACAGTGTGGGACCCCAAACTGTCCTGGGGCCAGGGGGTGACACTGGGGGACCTTTTGGGGCCGGGGGGTGACACTGTGGGACCCCAAACTGTCCTGGGGCCAGGGGGGGACACTGCAGGACCCCAAACCCTCCTGGCCAGGGGGTGACAGTGTGGGACCCCAAACTGTCCTGGGGTGGGGGAGCGACACCAGGGAACCTTTTGGGGCCGGGGGGTGACACTGTGGGACCCCAAACCCTTCTGGAGCTGGAGGGTGACATCGGGGAACCTTTTGGGGCCAGGGGGTGACACTGTGGGACCCCAAACCCTTCTGGAGCTGGGGGGTGACACCGGGGGACCTTTTGGGGCCGGAGGGTGACACTGTGGGACCCCAAGCTGTCCTGGGGTGGGAGAGCAACACCAGGGGACCTTTTGGGGCCAGGGGGGTGACACTGTGGGACCCCAAGCTGTCCTGGAGCTGGGGGGTGACACCGGGGGTGGCATCGTGGGACCTCCAGGGCCGGGGGGTGACACCGCGGGTCCCCAAGCTGTCCTGGAGCTGGGGGTGGCATCGTGGGACCTCCAGGGCCGGGGGGTGACACCGCGGGTCCCCAAGCTGTCCTGGAGCTGGGGGTGGCATCGTGGGACCTCCAGGGCCGGGGGGTGACACCGCGGGTCCCCAAGCTGTCCTGGAGCTGGGGGTGGCATCGTGGGACCTCCAGGGCCGGGGGGTGACACCGCGGGTCCCCAAGCTGTCCTGGAGCTGGGGGTGGCATCGTGGGACCTCCAGGGCCGGGGGGTGACACCGCGGGTCCCCAAGCTGTCCTGGAGCTGGGGGTGGCATCGTGGGACCTCCAGGGCCGGGGGGTGACACCGCGGGTCCCCAAGCTGTCCTGGAGCTGGGGGTGGCATCGTGGGACCTCCAGGGCCGGGGGGTGACACCGCGGGTCCCCAAGCTGTCCTGGAGCTGGGGGTGGCATCGTGGGACCTCCAGGGCCGGGGGGTGACACCGCGGGTCCCCAAGCTGTCCTGGAGCTGGGGGTGGCATCGTGGGACCTCCAGGGCCGGGGGGTGACACCGCGGGTCCCCAAGCTGTCCTGGAGCTGGGGGTGGCATCGTGGGACCTCCAGGGCCGGGGGGTGACACCGCGGGTCCCCAAGCTGTCCTGGAGCTGGGGGTGGCATCGTGGGACCTCCAGGGCCGGGGGGTGACACCGCGGGTCCCCAAGCTGTCCTGGAGCTGGGGGTGGCATCGTGGGACCTCCAGGGCCGGGGGGTGACACCGCGGGTCCCCAAGCTGTCCTGGAGCTGGGGGTGGCATCGTGGGACCTCCAGGGCCGGGGGGTGACACCGCGGGTCCCCAGCCCCTCCCGGTCGGGCTGGCACCGCGGGCCGCTGTCCCGGCTGGGCGGTGTCACCGCGGGTGGCCGCTGTCGCCGCAGGTGGTGGCGGGGGTGGCCATGACCAACCTGCCGGGGGTGGCGGTGCTGGCGTTCGCCAAAGCGCGCCTGGTGCGCATCTTCTTCTTCCGCCTCAACCTCATCGTCACCGTGCTGGGGCTGGCACACGGCCTGGCATTCCTGCCCGTGCTGCTCAGCTACATCGGTACGGACCGCGACAGCGCGACAGCAACACCGCGACAGCGACACCGCGACAGGGACACCGCGACAGGGACAGGGACACCGCGACAGGGACACCGCGACAGGGGCAGGGACACCAGGGACAGGGACAGTGTCACACCCCGAGGACAGGGACACCTCCCCGGGGACAGGGACACCGGGACAGTGTCAACTCGGGCACGGGGACAGGGGCATCGTGTCACCTCGGGGACAGGGACACCGGGACAGTGTGACACCGGGACAGTGTCACCTCCCCAGGGACAGGGACACCGTGTCACCCCCAGGGCAGGGACAGTGACACGGTGCCGCTGTCCCCTCAGGGCCCGCGCCGCAGGTGCCAGCGGGGGAGGACACGCCGGGGGACACCGTGCAGGGGACAGGGCTGGGCCTGGGCAACCCCTGCTTCAAGGACACGGACAAGGACAAGGACAAGGACAAGGAAAAGGACAAGGGGTCCGGGAAGGGCTGAGCCCCCACTGCCCCCCCGCGCCCCTCCCCCCTTTCTATTTAAACTGGTTTTGTCACATCCTGCACTGGCTGGACTGGGATGGATGGGGGGAGAGGGCGCTGCACAATGTCACACGGCTGGGGACATGGGGACAGGGACACTGTGGGGACATGGGGACAGCACGTGGGGCACAGGGACACCGTGGGGACATGGGGACAGCATGTGGGGCACAGGGACACTGCGGGGACATGGGGACACAATGTGGGGCACAGGGACACTGGGGGGACATGGGGACAGAACGTGGGACACGGACACTGCAGGGACATGGGGACACAATGTGGGGCACTGCGGGGACATGGGGACACAATGTGGGGCACAGGGACACCGTGGGGACATGGGGACAGCACGTGGGGCACTGCGGGGACATGGGGACACAATGTGGGGCACAGGGACACTGGGGGGACAGTGAGGATACCCCAGAACATTTATGGGTTTTTTAGGAACATTTACAGGTTTTAGGAACATTTATGGTTTCTGGGGCTGTTAGGGGCTCACTCACTAGATTAACTTGTGGGGCACATCCCAGAGCAATCCTGTAGGGACACTTAGAGGTTTTTTAGGAACATTTGTGGGTTTATTCTCTAGCTGAGCATGTGCTTCACATCCCAGAGCATTCCTGTAGGACCGTTCACAGGTTTTTTTGGAACATTTAAGGTTTTTTAGGAACATTTAAGGTTTCTGGGGCGTCAGGGGCTCACTCCCTAGATGAACTTGTAGGGCACATCCCAGAGCATTCCTGTAGGACCGTTCACAGGTTTTTTAGGAACATTTCAGGCTTTTTAGGAACATTTAAGGGTTTTTAGGAACATTTATGGTTTCTGGGGCCGTTTGGGCTCACTCCCTAGATGAACTTGTAGGGCACGCGGGCGGGCACGGTCTGCAGCTCCAGGCGCACGGGGAGCGGGGGGGGCTCTGCGGGGGGGGTCCCGCGGCCGGGGGGCTGCCGGGGCCCCCCGTGGTGCCCGTACTGGAACCTGAGGCGCAGCTCGCCCAGGCGGGAGCGCGGCAGCACGTCGGGGATCCACTCGATGGTGAAGGGCGTGGGCTCCTTCTGCGTGGGGGACGTGTGTCCTGGGGGGCACGGCGCGTGGCTGCCGGGGGGCTGCTGCCCGCCCTGGCCCCCAGCCCCATGGACCCCCCTGCCCCAGAGAA